GTGTGCGGCCCACTTCCCAAAACCCTTACCGCATTTATGACCAGAATCTGCGTTTTTTGCTACCCTGCTGATATGACATGACCAAAAATTTGATAGCCTATTTATAACAGTTGTGGCTGACACAGTTGCTCCAAACATAAGTTATGAAGGGCTTTTGCTGACGGTCTTATTGATAATGATGAAAAAAAGAAGCTTCTGCTAAGAAACATACCCAATTCAAGACTAGAGTGCTAAAACCATACCCTATTTATAACCAAAACGGCCAAAATAGATACCCTATTTATGACCAAAACGGCTGAAAAACCCCACCCTTTGGGGACGCACATACCTATATAGCCCATATAAAGGAGTACCCCCCATGGAGTTACTCACAGCGTTGGTACTTCCCCTAGATGAGATGGTTACTTTGAAACTTAAGCGTTGGTCTTTTTAAGCTGTGTTTCCTGGGAAAATTCTTTGTGCTTTCTAAATAAACTGTTGCCCGTATAAATTTAGCTATCCAATAGGTACGATACTCACCGGCTACAGCCAGGTAGCAGAATATTGAAAACACCAAAATCCTGAAGGACTTCATGTCTTAGACCTTTATGACGTGAAGATGGCTGAAAAAATAACACTGAAGTTGACAAGGGATCCCTTTTAACAGTATGCCGGACTGGCCTGTATGGCTCTGAAACATGAGTTTAATTTAAGTCAAGAGTTTATGATCTCTTGTTTAAGTGTAATATTTTCAGCACAAGGATTTTATCTCTTCAACCGGCCTTTTCTTTAACGCGAGGGCATCGTTAACTTGCATCAGCAAAAGTATTGATTTTTCTTGGAAGAGCCTCTAATGTTTTTGTCAAATCAAAGATCTTTTCTCGTTCATAAGAGAACACTGGTGCCAACAGGGGAAAAAATCGAGAGACAAGAAACGCAAATTGGATTCCAAGTATACTGTAAAAAAAGTTAACCTGGCATGTGAAAAGAAATGCTGACTGAATTTACGAGACCGAATTTATAGTTTAACAGATCATTTTAAAATATAGATTTTTTTCATTTTTAGCACAATAGTCATCTCGTTTCATAAGTCAGGGTGGCACAGTGTAAAAATTAAACTATCTTTTCCTCCGAGGCTAATTTTATTGTTCCAACACACCCAACGCACCAGCAAGACCTTTTTAAACATTGATCGCATGCAGTTAATTATGTTTGTAGTTACTTTTTACGGTTGATGAATTTGTTTGTTTATTGCTACAGTTCCCGTGATTGCCCATGTTCTAGCTTGCTTTGTTTCTAATTATAAATGATTCAAATTACAAAGAAAGCTAATAAAAATGTTATAAATAAGAAAGTAATTTAGTTTTCTTTGTTTTAATGTAGAACTGAAACAAACAGAGGTTTCACTGCGCACTGAACACACTTCGATTTTTTTAGAAAAAGGTTATTGATTCTTCGGGGGCCGAAATTTTATGTGGTCAAATTTAATTTGAAGCTGTCAAAAGCCTTTTTGCTTACTATTTGAGTTTTTAGAATAGACTTTTTGGATTGTTGTTTGCTTCAATTTGTCACTGAATTACTACTTAAATAACTATCAACCCGATGGATTTCAGATAACCCAGAAAGAGGAAATTATTTTTAGTTTTGAAATTGGAAACAAGAGGTGAACCATCATGGCGGACGACCATCAGTTTTAAAAAGAATTGAAGTAAGCTCCCTTTTCATAGGTTTTTTTTCATAGCCAGGCTGATTCAAAAACGAAGTAACAATTTAACTCACATTTCTCTTGAATTAATCGGATTCCATTCTCGTCAGAAAGTAAACCAGTTTTAAAGTGAAAATTTACAAAAGGCATTTGTTAGAAAATTACAACGAGGTACTTTTGAAGGTCAACTGAAGTCCTCGAGTTACGTTTTGAACAAAAAAGGTTCAAATTCCTTATGAAGTTTACAAGAACACTTTGGCCTTTAACTGTGTAACCGCTAATAAGCCGAACAGAATAAATTTTAAGTTGGTTTTCGCCGAGATTACCGAGTAACTATTTGACTACTGAAACGTCAAACATTTGAGAAAACAATTGCTAACCACTGCTTTATAAAGACTTTTGTCTGTTAAAAGGGTATTCTAATGCAAAGCTTTCTTCTCTTATTCAAATAAACTTTAGTAGAGACATGCAGAGGAACCGAATGAATAGGAACACAGGATAATAGAGTCCATGGACCCTTGGGTAATGCTGACGAAAATGAAGCTAGTAAGTAAAGGGCCAAGCCATGCTAGCTCGCAGAGTTTTATTTAGTTAACTTGTTTTAAATGTTAACGTTAATAATATAGCGAAGCTTTCTAGTAATGATCAACACTTACCCGATGAATAGAGCTTCCACTTGTAGTTTGACGGAGTCAATTTGGCGCGATCTGTGAAAGTCCACTCTTTCTTCCAGGGTTTTATTGTCCCAACCTGCCTTGCCCACCAGCAACGGACCTTTTTTAATTAGGTTTTTTACTAGGTTTCTGTTACGGTTGTCAAGTTTCTTTAGATTCAGTTCTGACTCTAGTAATTTCATTTGTTTTGCTAATTATAAATACGTCAAATAACAATGAAAAAACTAATCACACGTGTCGGTTAATTTTGTTTCTTTTGCTACATCTAAAATAAAAACAGTACTTGCTTTACTTTGTTCCAAAATAACAACAGCAACAAGCTCTACAGGCCAAAGAATATATATAAAGCAATCGTATTTATTTTGGCCACGTTGAAATCAGTCATGTTCCGTTTTTAAACAGCCTTTTTGTTGAATTTTGTAGGGAACTGAAAACGTTTCTTTTTCATTTTAAGTTTAAGAAAAACGTTAAACTAAAAATTTCATTGTTGTAAACATCTGAGAGTTGGTATTTATTTAATGATCATTTCACTGCTAATTAACGAGAACTCAAAAAAAAGACAATTCACGCTAATGATTTTAAGGTCATTCAGTAGGTGGAGTTGTTGCTTCTGGTTGTTTAATAACTTCTTATTATTTTCTCTTTTTGCATTTTGAAAGTCATTTTTCCACAGAGCCACAATATACATTGGAATAAAATAATAATTAAGTAATATTTCAATTACCGGGATCGGCTAAAAACGAAAACTGGCGGAATTTGTTAGTATTGCAGTTTATCGGTTCTGTTAAGTCAAAACACAAAGACTTACTTAGCAAGGCAGGCCACTCATGGGAAGTTGTGGGGGTACAAGTCCCTACTGAAGTAACCTTTCAGGGGCGGATTCAGGATTTTTTAAGTCGGGGTGAAGACGGTACCTTTACGTTTTAGAATCAATGGGGTATGTCCCAAAACTGTTTCAATTTGAGAATTGGGATCTAATTTAAAACTGTTACATCACCAGCCAGCCATGCCACAAAATACAAATAACATTGTTGTAACTGTCGGGAGTGTTTCCCTTCATTTCTCCTATAATGTTCACAATTTATGTCAATTTTTTTATTTTTTGCTTCTTCTAAAGGAGCGGGGACTGGCTAGTCACCCAATCTCTCTCCTGCCCTTCACCGTCACGGCGACATGCATAAAAATAAGGAGAGTCTGTAGAGTGTTCAGCTCGTAACCAGTTCAGGAATGGCTGACACTTAAACTGACAGCTGAGAAGACAAGCTTTCAGATTCCGCCTGTCTTGGAGGGGCAGGGGGTTTGTAGACAGAAGACAAGTCACTGGACAGTGGCTTGTCCATATTCTAGGCATTCCGGAAACAACACCGCCCTAGAACCCAGATCCCCATACCTTTAAAATTTCCTAGTACGCATGTTCAGTAAACACGTGCAGAGCAAAATGGCGGATGGAGATGCAGCGAAAGTAATTGCATTTTTATACCAGTTTCATTTCTTACATTATCGTCAGATTTAAATGAGATTTTTAAGGATAATATAAAAAATAACAATGTAACTATATCGCAGGCCACTCAATTCAAGGACAAGGGAAATGCATTTCTTCAAGCTGGTGATATCGCCAAGGCCATTGTGTCCTACACAGAGGCCATTACACTTGATCCGTCAAATCACGTCTTTTACAGCAATCGATCGGCAGCATATGCCAAGGATCAGAAATACGAACAGGCCTTAACTGATGCTAAAAAGTGTGTGGAATTAAAGCCGGATTGGGGAAAGGTTTGACTTTAAACATGTCCTATCGACTATGCAATGTGTCAAATTTGTACATGTACAAGAGACTTTGTAAAAGGTGATATAGTTTTACTGTAGTGTATACGTAATTTTACATTTAATCGCATCTATAACAAAATTCTCAAATCGTGATTGGCTCTCCACACACTTATTTGTTACCTAATCAGCACACGAACCACATGGGTGTCCAATTACAGGTATCCCATTTGAACTTTTGTAATTGGATGCCTGTACTTGGACACCCACCTGATTTGCACATCAATTAAGGGTACTTGAATGGCTTCCTTTGCAATGTTTCCTACAGTTTTCAAAACTTATGCAAAGCCCTACAGACGTTTTCGTTCAAAAGAAGTTCTCAAAAGACATTTTTCATTCTGAAATTATTTGTTACAGATACAGTTAATTAGTAATTGCACCTTGTGCTATACAATTCAGGGAGTAATTGTGCTAGTGATTTCAAACTGGCCTCGCGCTTAGCGCTCATCCGATTTTTAAATTACTCGCGTGATTTATCCCTAAATTGTACTCCACTTGGTCCAGTTATTATTATTAATTACTAATCCACTAAATTGCCCAGTACGGTATTTATGAAATGATTTAAACTTTGTTTTTTAACATTGATATTAAAGCGTGCTTACCAAATTCAAAATTATTAAGACATAATAAATTGTTATCTTTTGACAAATTTAATAATAGGTAAGAATGATTATTAAGGTCAAGTTTTGGGATCAGATTACATGTTACCAGCATTATATATCAAGGGGTATATGTGCCCCTTTATTCTCTGTGCACTCAATATTGTGACTGGGGCAGGATGTCGGGAATGGGCCAAAAATATTGGCGGGATGTGTAATTGAAAAAACTTATGTTGGATCCTCTAAAGAGAGGTTTGACTGCATCTTAGCACACTCTGAACTGCATAGACCTATAGAGAAGTGACATCATCATCATCATCATTGTCATTGTCGTCGTCGTCATTGTCATCATCTTCATCATAGTCATCATCATTATTGTCATCATCATCGTCTAGGCCTTCTACTCACTTGCAACGTAATGATAAAGTTAAATCTCACATTTTTTTGGGAGTGGGTCTGCAATTGAGTGCAGAAAGAAAGACAGCTTAGATAGATCCAGCTTCTCATTTACTAAATTCTGTTGACTTTTTAAGGGCTATTCAAGACTTGGCGCAGCACTGTCATTTCTGAAGCGCTACAATGAGGCAGAAAAGGCATATTCCAAAGGACTCCAGCTGGACCCCAATAATGCTCAGCTGAAAAGTGGTCTAGAAGAAGCCAGAGCTCAAGCACAGCGTGAGTACTTTAAAGATATGTTAATGTGTATTTATCTCAGCATGACTAGAGTGCTCTGTAATGGATAAGCATAATTAACTTGGTTTTACTTTTTGACAATTTACAGGTAGTAATCCCATGATGAGCCCGTTTTCCATGCCTGACTTGTATGTCCGCCTTGCTATGAACCCTAAGACCAAAGCTTTTCTGGATCAACCGGACTACAGAGCTGCTATTGAACAGCTTAGACTTAACCCACAGTTACTTCAAACGTGAGTTAGATTCCGTAGTTGTACAGCAAAACTGGTCAAGCACTCCTTCTACAGGAAATACAGGGGATGTTTGTTGTTAGAAATTTAATTTTATTATTGTTTTAGAAATGTCCACACTTAGGCTTGAAGTAATGACATCTCAATTTTGACCTACTGTCATTTTCTCCTTGTTTCTCTTTAGTTGTCAGTTGCTTTACTTTTCAACCTCCTAAGAATTCCTTTGGTACTCTGAGCAAAAAGGAATTATGAAAGTATTAATGTCACAATCATGGAGACTATCTCTTGAAGCTTAATGTTATACTAACCAATCAACTGAGTTTTCACTATCGTCTGTTCATTTGGCTCCTAATCTCTATAAATTTATTTTTAGCAGTCATCTCCAAGATCCCAGAATCATGCAAACAGTGGCAGTGTTGCTTGGCATTGACGCAGATGTTGCAGACAATGAAGGCAAGTGCAATTAAAACCAAATCAAGTTGCAGTGTATATTGCTTTACACACAGTAATTTGATTGCCCATGAGAAAAATTTGTAAGACTTATAGGGTTAGAAACACTTTTGTCATGAAGCATAGTTCTAATTATATATAGTTTCGATATTCCATCATATTGTATTATATTTTTAGATTTTATCTTAAGTAAGATACATATTTGTAATTTTAAAGAGTTGTAAAGTACATGTCACAATTCAGCCACTTTGGGGGCGGCAATGATTTTACTTAATAATAAAGCTATCTATCTATCTTTTCATTACAGAGCCTGCTCCTTCAACCTCAGAAGAGAAACCAGCCAGTGAACCAATGGAGACTGACAAGCCTGAACCTGAACCAGAACCTGAAGTGGATGCTTCTGTTGAAAAGGTTTGTGTATCATTAACATTGTGGGTTTTCCATTCATCCAAAATTTTGAAGATTTGTTTGGAACGAAATTGAATTTTACAGTCCGACCAGGAAGGTGTCTGGAAAACACTCTCTTGTTTATTTCGTTGTTCTTTCTTTTGCTGATTTTGCTGGAGTTTCCACTGAAAGTTCCCATTTATTAAGTCATGTGAAATGCATTCTCAGATAGAAATCTTACCAGATTACTTGTTTTGACTACTACTTTGCAATACACTGTGGAAGCAGAGATGACAGCCTAAAAAAATTGAACCTGGGAGATTGCCAATTTGACCTCTTTAACCGTAAAACAAAGTTGTTCAAAGTAGAGCTCTGCCAGTTCAATCACAAAATGCCAAAAATGTGCCAAAATATGTATAAAAAGTGTATTTTGTGTGCTTGCCTTATCATATTGTCTGAGAAATACTGGTGACCCATTTAGAAGACTGGGATATCAGTCCGTATCTGGGAGACTCACAGATAATCCAGGAAGCAAAATATTCTGCTTTGCCATTGGTACTGGCAAAGTCATTTCAGCCGGTTTTCTGGGATGGCACATACATTTGTACTGATTGAAATGGAATTTATACATTAGGCCTTAATGTGGATATTGTTCTCATTGTTCCAATGGTTAAATTGTTCTGCAGTCCCTAGAAGAGAAAGAGCTGGGAAATGCTGCCTATAAAAAGAGAGACTTTGAGACTGCCCTTGCACACTATGCAAAGGCCATTGAACTAGATCCTACAAATGTCAGCTTTCTAACCAACAGGGCAGGTTAGTAAGGATGCAATTAATATAAAAAGGTCCCGAAAATTGGTCTGAAAATGGTCCCTAAAAGTTGTCCCAAAAGTTTGTCCCTAGAATTTGTCCGAAACAGTTGTCCCTATTACTGCAACTCAAAGTTTGGTGGAAACATTGAAGAGCACTGCCTTGTTTTCAGCTGTCTATTTTGAACAAGGGAAGTATGATGACTGTATTGAAGAGTGCAAGAAGGCAATCACGTTAGGCAGGGAGCAAATGGCAGGATTCAAAATAATTGGAAAGTAAGTAGTGGAATTAATGTGATTAAATTATATTTTAGTTTTAATCTTGGTGATTGCATTTCTAAAAATAACTAGGTTTCTTTGCATGTCATGTGAAGTGAACAAAAATTGCCATATTGATAATTAAAGAAGTGATTTTGTTTATTACCATATGGCAATGGCACTGCAAAAATTTTTTTCACAGGATGTCTTAACTATTTTGAAGCATTTGTTCTAAGAATTGTGCTCTATGGTGCTGTGAAAGCTAAAGTTGATTTCTCTGATCTGCATTGCATTTTGTGCATTTTTACAGAGCCTATGCCAGAATAGGAAATGCTTATAGTAAGCAAGGAAAGCTCAAAGAGGCAATTGATGCCTACAATAGCTCTTTAGTTGAGTACAGAGCACCTGATGTCTTACAGAAAGTCCAGGAGGTAGGTTATGGTCACAATAGATAGCATTGGATCTTGGGCTGACTTGCAGTTTCTAGCTCTGTAGGTTTCAAAATGACAAATGCTTGTTTTTTGTGTTCTGTCAGAGAGGGATGTCTGCATAGCCCCACGCAGTGTCTATAATTTTTAAGAAATAGAAAACAAGTATGGTGTTTCTATAGCATTATAGAAACATGAATGGAAGTTTGGGAGAATGAGAAATGCTGTAGGAATGCAAGTTGACAGGCGAATGTTTCCATAGCATTTTTGAGTTCTCTAAAACTTCCATGAGTGTTTCAATCTATAACTGGATAGAAACAAGGAGAGCATGTTTTCAAAGTCTTTTAGAAAATTCCTAGAAAAAGAAAACAACTTGTTTATTTTGATCGTCACAATGTAAAATTTAATTCCCTTTGCTCACGCCATCGTGACATCAACAGCTTGTGCTAGTTCTTACTTCTTATGGGAATAAGAACAGGAAAGTTGTGTTTGAAGAATTGTTTGGTTATATAGGCAGAGAAAGCAGTGAAAGAGCAAGAAAGATTGGCCTACATTGACCCAGCAAAGGCAGAGGAAGAAAAAGAAAAAGGAAACAACTTATTTAAGAAAGGTAAGTTAATAGGCTACATACATTATAATTCAATAATGTATCTGTGATAAATAATGCTAATAGGACTGAGTGGATCCCAGTTCGGTCTGTAATCATATGAGTGATTAACAGAATCGGACGGCCAGGAAGCGGGAGTCCGATTTGTTAATCATGAGTATGATTACAGACCGAATTAGACGACATGATGTCCTGTTACCAATTAATCAAAACTATGACAAAATTCGAGAAACTAACAAACCATCGATTGAGCGCTGAACAATTTTAAAATGTCGTTATGAATGCTGAAAAACCCAGCAGTTTACTCAACAAAGTGCACCACAGCAGCGTGCGCAAAATTACGCGTACTGTCCAGTTACAAGCATAACATGTACACCGTCCAATTAATGCTCAAATCGGGCTGCTGATAGCCGATCACGTTCGAGAATTTTGTTATAGTTTTGATTAAGGCTGTTATCTTTATTCAGCAGTTTCTATTATTCAAGGCCTATTAGCCTCCATGGCTGTCAATAAGGGCTGTAACCCATAGCACCTGTCACGGCTGAGCATGCTTGATGGGCCCATGATGGTACAGCTGGACTGGCCTGTAATTGATACAATTCACCCATAAAGTAACAAGTTTGTTAGGGGTGTGAAGATCAAGGCTACAGAGAAGTCAAAACTTAATGACAGCCCTGGCCTCGGGAAGTTGACTACATGCACTGCAGGTCTATGATTCTATGAACATTGGAGGGCTTGACTTTAAGGAAAAAACCTCAGGGCCAGCTGGCCCCTAGGTTTTCAGATTTAGTCACCAGAAAAAAAGTTTCAATCAGTGAAAAGCATGGAAAGTTAGTCGCCAGGGAAAAAAAATTGGTTGCATTGGCGACCCCAGTGGTCACAATGTGGAGCTCTGCATTGGAAATCATGTTCTTACCTGCAGTTTGCCTGTATTGCAGGGGATTTCCCAGAGGCACTCAAGCATTACAAGGAGGCCATCAAAAGAGATCCCAATAATGCAAAACTGTACAGCAATCGAGCAGCTTGTTATCAAAAGTTGGCGGCATTCAACTTAGCTTTAGAGGTACAGTATCAAGATATTAATACTGTAAGTTGTAATACAATGAAATGCTCTAGATCCCACCACCAGCAAACAAGCGAACCATCAGTCGTAATATTACAGTTTCTGGACTAAGATGGAAGGAATGAGTGAGCTCTTTGTGGCTCCAAATGAAGTGCTCTCAAACCTCCCATAAGTGGAGTGTGACCCCACTGGGACAAGAAGTATCCCCTTTAGGTGTCTTATTATGGAAGAATAAAAGTATGCTCTTTATAGGGGAATCCTTGTTTACAATATTTGCCTCATTAACGTAAGCAATTTAGTTTCTGATAGAGCTACAAATAAATCCGTTCTGAAGATTGAAAGGTCATAGTAAGATTAACTCTGCCAATGAATATGAGCCTGATTTTTGTGCAACACGGGTTTAAAAACTCAAAATTTTACAAAGAATGTATGAGCTCTTTAACGCTTTTGCCACCCAGAAATTTTGCAGTTTTTGAAAGACAATATCTCCTGGAATATTACACCCAAAGAGCTAAACATTTCACCATGTATTAAGTTTCACTAGCTCTTTAGCTGCCTGGAATCAATTCATATCTAACATGTTTCCTTCTGTATGCAAAGCGGTATGCAAAATGAGCAAAAATGTAAACAATGA